ACTTTGTAAAATGTCAATGTTAATTATCTGAGCAATGAATAAGACATGAGTTAAGACATTTTAAAATGTGTGTATTTAAAAAAAATCATAATGATGACTGGTGAAATCTGGATCAAGGCTCTATCCTTCCTCTGCTGCCGTGAGCCATTCCAGCTCTTTCTAGGCGCATCTCTCTGGGCACGTTTGGTTCCTCATATGGAACACCAAGGCGTTAGATTCGCTCTCTAAGGGTCTGTGCAGTTCTAATATTTCTCGATTCTTTCTCCCACTCATGCATTCAGCTGGTTTTGGAGGGCCTACAATGTTACAGGTGCAAGGGATCTAAGTGTGCCAATGACTAGCCTCAGGGACCTTAGAGTCTAGCTGGAAGGCTGGTATTTAAGCAAATGATCCCACAAGAAAATGCACGCGTGCATTGCAGTAAGCACCATGGAGGAGGGGGCGTACCCGGACAGGGGAGATCAGCAGGTCTGAAGGCAGGAGGTGGGGCGGCGGGGGAAGAGTCTGGGCGAGCTGAGCAGCATGACAGGTGTTAATGGGGGTTTACAGGGAGGCGGAGGTTGGAAACAGTCATTGAGAACAGCGAACACCTACAGAAGGGCTGCCAAGCAGCTTTGAGGAGTCTAGAAAGGCACACAGCATTAAGGGGCATTCAACTGATTATTTGTCTAATGAACTGAAGAAATGTCATGCAGCTAGGGTAATTTTTTAAATTATATTTTTTAAAATATATTTAAATATATATTTTAAATATATATTTATAAATTATATTAAATTTAAATTATATTTAAATTAAATTATATTATATTTATATTTTTAAATATATATTCCAAAATATATATTTTGGAAGCCCTTAGAAGAACTCATTCCCTAAGATCTGCATCATTAAGCAGACATTGGCACTCAGATATATAATCTGTGATCCACATCTTTGAGCTAACCCTCAGTCAACTTCGTGGAACCCCAGGGGTAAAGAAAAGCCACCAACTATTCCACAAGCCAGGTACAGTATTCAGGGGCAAGTGACAGTCACCAGTGTGCCCCAGGAACCCATGGGGTATATCTGAGTGCTGAAGCACCTGTGAAATGTAATACTTCGACTAGCATCGCAAAAGAAGCAAAGACCCTGGGAAGAACTCAAACAGTGATAATAATGGTGGGGGGGGGCAACAAAATCATTTGGTTTCTCAAATGTTCACGAATTACAGGGTAAATACAGAGTAAATTAACAAAGGCAGCATGGGGAATAAAGAAAGAAAAAAAAAAGGCAGTAACCAAAACCTGCCTTCCAGCTACATGGAAAAACACTCTAGTGCCCCAAGTAAATAAATAATAAAAGGATATGGAAACAATACACCTTGAAAACTCTCGCCCCTCCTCTGTTCTCCTGGCCAGAAGCAGTGCTGACAGGTTTGCGCTGCCTGGGCTACATAGCCGGCTAGCATTTATTTATCTAAAAACACCCGAGTCCCCAGTCCCCTTTAACGAATCAGGCAGGGCATTTCAATGACCTGAAGCCCGTGGGTTAGCGTATCCCACTGTTTTACTCCAAGTTCCAGCATGAACTCCTAAGACAATGTACCCTGGCTCCTGGACTAGATAAATGCTAGAAATAAGGGGTGCTCAGATCACACGATTTTCCTCCCTCCCATCCCCCACCGTAGGAAGGCTCTTGAGACTATATACCCACAAGGAAAAATAAAACAATGCATAGCCATTCTCACCACGCCTAGCCCTGGTTTTTGAAAACACCTCAATTCCTATCGGTTCTATCTGTTTCACAATGATATAGCCTTAACCTTGCCTGCTCACACATTTTCATGTTATTTCTTAAACACATGCTATGCCACCAGCCCAAGCGAACTGTGCAACCACCAGGGACGGAAGAGAACATGAACAAAAACAAGGCAAAAAGAAAAAAAAAGGAAAAAGGAAGGTGGAAGTAATTATCCAGGATCACAGAATTTTAGAGCTAGAGGCGGCTTTGGGGAATAAAAAACAGGCTCCAGGACCTGCACTAGGGCAGACAATTGGTACCAAAGAAGGACCTAGAAGGGTCTAGAAAAGTCTAGGAAGGTAAAACGCTGACTAGCTGTCATTTCTGCAGTAGGCCTGGAAACACTTTCTCAAGGCTATATTGCCGCTCCTCACTGCACGGCCTCATGCTGTGGTGTGTCAAGGCTGCTGAGAAAATCGAAAGCCATCTCCGGCCTAGGGCAGTGGGCTGGCCTCCATCGTGGCTGTCAGACCCAACTCCCCGTGGAGCAGAACTGCCAAAGAAAGGAGTTGATATTTAGGGATCAAGCCAGTTTTGCTCGGAGGTTGATTTTTCATAACACGTGTCCTAGGATTTGATAATACTTGATGTAACACGATTTTACTCCCCTTCATTCTACCGTGAAAGCAACAGAGGGGTTCACTATTATCCCATTTTACAGATAAGAAAGCCGAAGGTTAGTTTTGTTTTTCTTTCTTTTTTTTTTTTAAAGATTTTATTTATTTATTTGAGAGAGAGAATGAGATAGAGCATGAGAGGGGAGAGGGTCAGAGGGAGAAGCAGACTCCCCGCTGAGCGGGGAGCCCGATGCGGGACTCGATCCTGGGACTCCAGGATCATGACCTGAGCCGAAGGCAGTCGCCCGACCAACTGAGCCACCCAGGCGCCCTAGTTTTGTTTTTCAAAGACGGTGTGCTGCCAACGACTTGGCGACCAGGACTGCCCTTCTGTGGCTAGAGCAACATCCCACGGGTAGCAAGTACCACTAACAAAGCAGCAACAGAACCCAGAAAACCCTAATTTCTAGCTCATGGCACCAATCTGCAGATGAAGAATCGTCGAAGTGCGATCACGAGGACGCCTATAAAAATGCTTTAAAAAGGCAGTGACACATCGTATCACCGTAGCACTGGAAAGAAAAAACAGCAACGTCCACAAACCCTGAGAATCTGAAACCCTCTATGGAGGCGGCAAAGATCAAGCAGTCGGCCCTGGGTCTGTCTGTGTCCTGGTCATGACCTGGCCTGCCTGGACTGTTTTGCTCATTTACTCCCTCCGCATTCTGTTTCAGTCAAATGAGGACACTGGTTAAACAAGACATTTTCAGTTGCACCCAAACGGGGGGTTATTATTTTAAAACACCCAGACAAATTATGGCAAATCCCTGTGGTATAACATTATAGTAGAACAGTCAATGGTGAGATCCAAAGTATAAAAGATGAAGAGAGGGGCGCCTGGGTGGCTCAGTCAACCAAGAGCGTCTGACTCTTGCTTTCAGCTCAGGTCATGATCTCAGGGTCATGAGATGGAGCCCCGAGTTGGGCTCCGCACGGGGCATAGAGCTAGCTTCAGATTCTCTCTCCGCCTCTCTCCGCCATAAAAAAAATACATTACGGGACTCCACCTCCAGAATTTCTGGTTCGGTCTGAGGTGGGGCCTGAACATTTGCCTTTTCATGTGTGAAGTGAGTGCTGTTTCTATCTTTGGGTGTTTGAAGATTTCTCGGGACCTCCTCTACTGCTGCTTTTCCTGAGTGCTGCGCATGGAGGCTGCTTGGGATTCTCTCTCCCCTCTCCCTCTGCCCCTACTCCGCTCACGCTCTTGCTCTCTCTCAGATAAATAAATAATCTTTAAAAAAAGATATGAAGAGAAAAGCAAGTTATAAAATATGTATAACATGGGGCGCCTGGGTGGCTCAGTCATGAAGCGCCTGCCTTCAGCTCAGGTCATGATCCCGGGGTCCTGGGATCGAGCCCCGCATCGGGCTCCCTGCTCGGCGGGAGGTCTGCTTCTCCCTCTCCCAGTCCCCCTGCTTGTGTTCCCTCTCTCGCTGTGTCACTCTCTGTCAAATAAATAAGTAAAATCTTTAAAAATAATAATAAAATATGTATAACATGATGTCACCATTATCCATATATGCATGCATGAGTATGTGTAGACAAAAAACTGGATGTATCTACTGCAAATACAACATAATATCCCAGTGGCATTCTCTGAGTGGTGTAATTACTGGTGATTTGTATTTTCTTTTTCATGCTTTTCTAAGGTCCATCTGTATTTTCCAGTGATTATGTACCAGATTTGTAACAATTAAAAAAATAAATGACTTTAAGACTTTAAACTGTCCTCATACACACACTTTTGGTGGGAATGTGAATAGGAATAATTCCTTGGAGAGGTGATGTGGGCATATCTGTACAAGTTTACACTGAATACTCTTTGACCCAGCATTTCAACGTGTAATGATCCCACTCTCACAACTGCACAAAGAAGTAGAAGAAAGGACCATCATTGCAGCTTGTTTGTAATAGCAAAAGACTAGAAAACTTAAATGTCCATCAACAGGGAAATACTAGTACATCAGGGCACCTCTATTCAAGCAAATACAGCCCAGTAGAGAAGCTCAGTGATGGACTGACACCAAACTATCTCTAAGATACATGAATAGGTGAAAAAAATGAAGGTGCAGGATATATGCTATCATTTGTGTAAACCTACTTTTCAAAATATATTCATACTCCATGATACATGTACCGGCTGTCTCCAGAAGGTGCCCCCAAAATGGTAATAATGTTGCCACAAGAGAGGGAAGGTGAGGGAACAGGAAAGCGGAACCCAGACGAGAGGGAAACTTCTTGTCATTGATAGCCTTCTGTCTGCACTTCGAATCTTTTACAAACACAAAACCAAACAAAGAACCTTAAAATGTAAAAGCCTGGGGGGAAATGGCATCAATTATTTTTCTAAAAGTTTCAGTACCTTATGCCAGAGTCCTCTTCATTTTGAAGGCAGCCCCCTAAAAAACGCTGCCTCCAGCGGGGGGGGAAAAAACAAACAAACAAACTACTTGAGGGACAGCATGTGCTGCTGCGGACCCGGTGCCCTCATGTGACTTCTAGGACCAGGTTTGGACACACACGGGTTCAGCCAAAGCAAGAGCACTGTGTCCTTTGACAACAATGTCCAATTCTCACTTGTATGCAGTAAATAAGAAATAGTTTACCTTTCAGCAAAGGTATCGAGTTTCCCCAGCTCATCGGAGAGGCCAACAAGGGAATCCAAGGTCCCCACCTAGAAAGATCATGAAGAAGTTAGAGGCTCACGCTTTATGGCAGAGAAGCGTAGGTCACTTTCAGCAGCAGTGCAAGGAGTTCTCTAACCTCCATCTCTCCTTAGTTATTCTTGGTCAATGGCCAAACTGGAAAATGGAAAGAGCTGTTGAGAGAGTGGATTGGGGATATTTTCTAAGTTATTATTATTATCATCATCATTATTTTTGCCAGCAGGATAAACTGTCCTATTTCTGCCATAGGAAGGAGTGACCACCGCGTCATTGTGAGATCCCAGCTCATTTTCTTCTTAGAATGGCGGTCTGCCAGTCATGTGAGTAATCCCCATAGCTGAGGAGATGTACCAGAAAGCAAGTCAAAGAAGCTGCCATTTCTGGGGCACCTGGGTGGCTCAGTCAGTCAAACATCTGCCTTTGGCTCAGGTCATGATTCTAGGGTCCCAGGATGAGCCCCACACTGGGCTCCCTGCTCAACAAGGAGCCAAGGAGCCTGCTTCTCCCTCTGCCTATGTCCCTCCCTCCCCCTCTACTCCATCCCCTCCTCTCCCCTCCAAATAAAATCATTAAAAAAAAAAATTGCTGTTTCTAAAGCCTTTCTCCCCCAAGATGTCCAACAATCCGTCTCTGTTCTCCTTTGCTATTACTAACAACAATCTTGCAGGCTCAGAGGGTCAGCGCTCCCTCCCACCTCATCATTCACGCGAGTCCTCTTCTTTTCAGATTACTTGTACCGATCCGCTTCTTAATGTGACAAATATGACAGAGTCTAAAACTGTATTTAAAGAGCTAGTCCCCAGAACCAGAAGGAAAGGCTTTGTTTTCGCGTCACCAACCACCAATCAGACATTAAAAAGTAATCAGCATTAACACTGTGTGTCAACTATACTCTCATAAAAGAATACTTTTTAACATCTTATTTTTTTTTAAAGATTTTATTTTATTTATTTATTTGAGAGAGAGAGAGAGAATGAGAGACAGAGAGCACGAGAGGGAAGAGAGTCAGAGGGAGAAGCAGAACCCCTGGCCCGATGCGGGACTCGATCCCGGGACTCCAGGATCATGACCCGAGCCGAAGGCAGTCGCTCAACCAACTGAGCCACCCAGGCGCCCCAAGAATACTTTTTAAAAAAATACTTTAAGAAAGGTAATTAGGGGGGCGCCTGGGTGGCTCAGTTAAGTGTCTGCCTTCGGCTCAGGTCATGATCCCAGGGTCCTGGGGATAGAGCCCCGCATCGGGCTCCCTGCTCGGCAGGAGGCCTGCTTCTCCCTCTCCCACTCCCCCTGCTTGTGATCCCTCTCTCGCTGTGTCTCTGTCAAATAAGTAAGTAAAACCTTAAAAAAGAAAGAAAAGGTAATTAGGAAATGATGAGGCCCGGTTATCTCTAATACGTGAAGTTGCTCCTTTTCAAGTAACTTGTTGTTAAGCATCTTTTGGCGAGGGACCTGTCTCTTCTGTTTGCTCCCTCCCATCTAACAAGCTGCCTTACACAGAGCGGTGAGTGCACACTGATTCCCTAACCCTCACAGCGGGGGTCACCAGACAAACAGGGGCAGGTATGAAACAGGCAGCAACATATGGGTTCAGAAACCAGTGCTGCCGTAACTTACCGGATCTGCAGCCCTGGTCTCCTTTCTCCGCCCTTCCTGATCTATCACATGGGATTGGTAAAGATTCGAGATTATGCGTTTGAAGGGCCTGGCCCCCCAACGTACCGCTCAATGAGCACTAGCAAACAGAGTAGCATCACTATGGTGCTGATGGCGCAGCTCTTAGGGCACAGGGGCAGACTGAGGTTTGAAAGATTATATGGCAGTTTGCTACAAGAGGGGCCTCTGGGCAGTTGGGTGGGGCCATCCCTCTAGCACCCACAATGCATCTGCACAGGTGTCATCGAAAAATGCCTCAAGCTTCTTCCTTTTAGGAACTTGCAATCTTAGGAAGCACCGCAAAAATTCGACTATTCTGAAGCAAAAAGACTGTACACACCTTGCTCCTCTTTCACATTTGTTTCATTTTAACTTTGTTCTCCCCTGCGAGAGCCCTTAGACTCCTATCTCTTTCCTGTCATATCTCTTTCTGCCATCCGCCCACTTATCATTAAATTTCCTTCCTGCCTCCCCACCAGTACCAGAGGGATCTGGAATTTCCCACCCTGCTCCAGGTAAAGAGTATTACCGACGCTGAAGCTCTCCAAACCTGCACATTTAAACTGTATTGTTGGTTGCCTTAGATGTCAAAGACAAAACACGAGGGATCCTACAACTCACAAGGGCACAGGTGTGTAAAATGCTCTTCCCACTTTTTGAGGACACTGCTACCCACCACACCCATCTCTCCCTGTTCATCCTGCCCTGTGTCTGTAAGTCCAGAGGAACCACAACTAACTGGGCTATGGCGTCAAGTCCCATCCAGACCACTGACTTGCCCTGCGCATCCTCACCCCCAGGCTGATCCTCAGCACTGCTGTCTTTGCCCTGTTATTTTCTCCTTGGCTTCCCGGAACACACCCACCCACCGCAACCCATCACCTCCTTCATTCTCTCCAGCATTTTACCTTGAAGTCAGGAATCGAGAATTTGGTGTTGTAAGACAGGTTGGACTTGGAGGTTACGGTGTTCATCCTCTCCAGAGCTTGTAAATTCTCCTGATCACCAGGAGCAGAAATTAACCAAAACTCCGACATGCTTCCCACCTTCTTTTATCCAGTTACTGACCAGAACCACAGCAACATACACAAACAGAAAAAGGAGGAGACAAGTGTCAAGTATCTCTACTCCTTCACCACTCCCTTCCCTCAGAATTAATCCTCTCCAGGATGTGTTGCTTTTACCGTTTTCCATTCTTTGCCCCTTTGACCTTCCAATTCAGATTCTCTAGCTCCAAGGACACCATATGCACAAAGCAACGTGCTGTTTCTTATCTCAACTCTGAAAGCCCTCAGGGCTCCACAAAGACTCCCAAGCCATCCATACGGTGGTTCTGACCGGTTTTAAGGGTTGGGGGAGACGGTTGGGGAGAACCAGATTGCTGTCCCTTTGACTTCCCCCCTCTCCTGACACCACAATGCAAATGGGGGAGGGGAGCACAGCAAGCCAGACAGGGGGCACAGCAAGCCCGGCATGGGGCCCTCTGAAATAGTTTCTTCCTTTCCACGTTGTACTGTCCGGGATGCAGGATGGGGTGAAGGCAGGAATGAGACAAGGAAGCAATTTCACAACCGGCCCTCGGACAAACCCCCGATCTTAACTGACCAACCTTGAGAATAGTGCTAGCCTTAAAAACAGACTTCAGAAGAACGCCTCTTTTTTCCAAATAAGAAGAAAAAAAGGTAGTGGGATGACTACTTAAGTCCTTTTTCCATAAGACCAGGTGTCCACTCTGCAGAGGTGGGTAACGTGCTGGGCCTGGCAGTGTCTGTCCAGCGTCTGCAGCTTCCAAAGGCGATTAGTTCTGCTCATTCAAACGTGCACACACCCACACCTCTCTCCCCCTCCGCCCGTTCCTCCCTTCCCTGCGCCTCGCAAAGCGCCTCCAACGGCTAAGGGGGAAAACAGGGTGACAGCCAGAGGCCCGTCCTGGAAGCTTTGCTTTTTGACGACTCCCTTAGTCCCTCCCAATCCCGCGCACTACCAACGCAGTTCCTCTCGGTCTCGACTGCTGATGGCCTGGGGACAAACTGGCCCCACGCGCAGAAGCTGGGGAGATACCACTTGCCCGGCCCCGGGAGGGCGCCGCGGGGGCGCCGGGTCCCTGGTTCCCAAGAAGAAAGCGCGGCCCGGGACGGCGCGCGTGGGCCGAGGCGAAGCTGGGACCGGGGCGCGCGGCGTGGCTTGCGCTGGCTGGCCCCCGGCTCGCGCCTCTCCCGCCGCCGCCCCGCGTCCCCGACCCCGCGGCGCGTGCTTACCGGGAGCCGGCGGCCGCGCGGGCGGGCGGGCGGGCGGCGGGCGAGCGCAGAAGCGGAGCGCACGGCCGGCTCCCGGGAGGCAGCGGCTTCTGCCCGGCGCCCCGCCCCGGCCTTTTATCCCGAGCGGGAAGGCGGCCCCCGCCCGCCCCTCGGTCATTTGCATACCGGGCCGCCCGCCTCCCGCCGTGGCGGGCCCCGGGGTCCCTGTCCGGGCTGCGACCGCCGCGCGTCCGGGCGCCGCGCGGGCACTGGGTCCACCCGCGGGGTGGGTGCCGGCGGGATTCTGGGGAGCATCGGGCGGGGGGACGGGGTGTCTCCAGCCCACAACGTGGCGGGGCACACCGGACGTGGACGACCGAGAGGAGCGGGCGAGGCGAGGTACTCCGGACCGGGACGCCCGCCCCCCGCGGCCGCCGCCTCGCTCTCCACCCCCACCCTGCGGTGACCCGGCGCGGGGGCTCGGGAATCATCGGGCGAAAGGACTGATCTGTGGGAAGAAGCGCAACAGGTCCACCTATGTTTTCAGAACTCACCCGGGCAGAGGACCAAGCAAGCCTTCCTGTCCTCGTGGGCGTGCGCTTGCCCGGGTTGCCGAGGAAACTCTCCAGGGTCCCACGCGCCCACCTCACCTTACCCCCCTTCAAAACTGCCCTGGCTATAGGAGGGATTTAAAATGTAGTGTCTCACTACCGCGATGCGGGTTCATGATCCCTGCTGTTTGAAAAAAAAAAGAGAGGGAAACCCAGAAATTAACCTGGGAATGTGAAAAGACAAAAACTCTTGAGAATTCATTTTCTCCGGAGTAAGAGGAGGAAACGTGAGTGTATCCTTCCCTGTGGACAATGTTTTCAGTGGTTTCTGGGAAAGATAAAAATCTCAGAATTATCTTGGGTGGGGGGGTATTGAGGAATTCCTTGAGAAATGAGCTCCCCCTTATTAGATGAAACTAGTCAGACTATCAACCTAATTGCTGGGAATGCTTTCGGAATTTGGAAAGAAAGGTAAGGGAGAACTCCAGATGCTGGGATGAGAAGGCTCAGATGCAGCACAGAATGGTGGCTTGTAAAGGTCACAACATGTCACACTGCAATCCTATTGTGGGTTCGGAATTAGCAGTTTGGAACTCCCAGCACCTGCATGGTGCATCATCGTTATTGGGACACTTATGGGCATTAGTCAGTCCTTGCAACATCTTCCTGAGGGAGGACACCTGAAACCAAGGGATGAGGAAACTCGGTGTGCACAGGGAGGTAAAAATGGTAATTCCAGCAAAGGAGTGGCCTGGTTGGACCTTGAACCCAGGGTCTTCAATCTTGTACCTGACCCAGTAATGTCAGGTACTTTCTTTCCAGCTAGGCCAAACGGAATCATAGAGCTGGGCGCAAACGCATTTACAAACAAGGGTAGTAGGGATGTTCCAGAAGTTACATGAATTGCTGGGTGTTATGTCGCTGGTTAATGGCAGAGCCATGAGGGGGACTTAGGCCTGGGATCCAAGGGTCCCTTGCCCTGTTCCCAGCCAGCCCGTGGGAGAATGTGTGCTTTCTGTTTCAGTCAATGTTTTTCTTCAATAATCCAAACCATCGCCCTGGTTTCTCAGACGTTGGGCAACCCATTTAGAAGTATCCCCGACTTTGCTGATGGCACCATTCCTTCTATAAATATGGCTTCCTCTAACAAGCTTGTTTCATGAAATAAGAGTTGGACACAAAATAACATCTGGACATCCGATTAAGAAGTTATTGAGGACCTACCGTGTTCCTTGTCTTACTTAGAATCTTCCTACTCAAAATCTAAAATCTTTCTGATTATCGTACATCTTGGGCTTCTTGTTACAGACTGGAATTTGTAATCGCTTGGCTTGTTTCAACTAACTTTTTTCTGCTTATAAAGGTAATTCTGTGCTGCTTTATAGAGGATTTGGAAAACGGAATTTTTTCCAACAGTCTGAAAATAACCATGTTAACATCTCTCTGTTACTTTTTAATGCGTATTCATATATACAGACTTAGACTTTGGGGCAGGATTGAGATTAGATATTATTCATAAGGTTTGGCATCCTTCTGTTGACTCTTTTTTAAAGATCAAAAAATTATCAAGCCTATCTTATCAGTGAAGGATAATCCAATGTCATCAGCAATTTACCCAGCTCAGAACTGGAGTCAGATATATTTGATTTCAAAGTCAAATAAAGAGATCTTGTTGGACAACTTACATCTTAAAAGGAAAAAAAAAAAAAACAGAGAGAGGGAGGGAGGGAGAGAGAGGATGAAAACAGCACTGTCTTGCCCCAAGGTTCTTTCGATTTGCGGTTTTCAAAGGCAACATCTGTACTCATCAGTTTTGAATGGACTTGTGTTATTCTGTCAAGTTTCCCTATAATCAATCAACCTTTAACACAGAGAAATAAGGAGAAATTCACCAAAAGTCTTGGAGCCTCGTCCCTTGGTTTAGCTGGAGAATACAAAACAGCATTCCCACCCTATAAGGAAAGTGGTTCCTTTTCATATATCAGCCCCGAAGCCACATTTAACAGCCCGTGTTCAGTTCCTCCAACTGTCCGCACACTCCCAAAGTCTCTGAAATCTCCACCTAAGTGACTGCAAGTTTATGCGCCTTGACCCCTGCTTCGAAAATACCCGTAGGTTATGGAAAGTGCTTCAGAGACACACCCCGAAAGAACCCAGGTTATAAAGAACACGATCTCTTCCTGGGAATAAAAGCGAGGGAGGAAATGCTATCAACCTGGAATCATCTCCAGGTTATTATGAATTTGGCTTTGGCTACATAGTCCAGAAATGTCACCGCAGTTGGCACGGGTTATGGATTGAGCCAGCTGAAGTCTGTGCAAGATGGAACAGTCCCGTCAAGTTTGGGAACCAGAAGGACCAGGCTGGCCTACTTGGTCTCCTCTTCTCCAGCCTCTCCCAGATGGTGCCCTTTGGATCTCTTTGTTGCTTCGTGGCGAGAACCCTCAGAGGATGCTCCTTACAATTAACGCAGACACGTAATTCCATCTGCAGGTGGCTCAGGTGGATTTTTCTAGGCTTTTCCAAGAAGAACCCAGGGAAGTTTCTCAATAGGGACAGCTCTCTGGTGGAGATAAATATAAGTGGAGTTGTCTGCTGAGTCAGTAGGGTGTTGGAGAAACAGAGTAGGCTTTGGTATCGGGCAATTGGATGAGCTACTTAGCCTTGCTAAGCGGTGGGTTTCCCCTCTGAAAACGGGGACAATTATGCACATCTTTCAGGCTTGTCCTGTAGGTGAGAGGGAATAGCATTGGAGGCACCAAAGATGGTGCTTGGAAGCTGTGGTGTGCTCATGAATGTTCCTTTTACTTCCTGCTCCCTCTCTTTTCTTAGATGCTCTGTGGGGGTTGCACACCTTAACCGTGGCCCTTATAATAATGCCTCAGTGATGCCCAGCCTCTTTCTCCATGGGCCCAAAGTATTTTGATCTGCGTCTTCCCATTCAGCCAATATACCCTTGTGATTTAAGGACAGCCGTCATGATGTCTTTCACTCTTTGGCTGGGCGAACCAAAGGCCGTGAATTCTCATGATTTATTTGCTCAAGTGTACAGAGTTAAGGAAAATGCTCATTTAAGGAGCGATTGTTGTTTTTTTCAGTACGTGCAAGGCAGTGGGGGGAACGAAAAATAAATCAATTTTCAATCTAGTGATAGAGAAAAGCAAGTGTGGTGAACAGAATTTTAAGAAGTCCTAACTCACCAAGCTATGAATACAAACCCCAGAGCAGGATGTGAGACATGCATAAAAATGAGAT